CCCCCGTCGCTACTTAGGCACCTGCTGGAACCCTGGCTTTTCTGTGCCTTGTTAGGGATTGAACTCAGGGCCTTGTGCCTGCTGGGCATATGCTCTACCACTGAGCTACATTCCAGCCCTGTCTGCTGTTGTTTGCCATACTGGTAATTTAGGGATCGAACCCATAGCCTTTGCCCTGAGCTTTGCCCCTAGTTTTTATTTTTTATATTTAAACAGAGTCTTGCTAAGTTGTCCAGGTGGGATTTGAACTTGCAGTCCTGTTTCAGCTTCCCTCTGTGCTAGGACTGGGGCCTGCCACCATAACCTGGCTCTTGAGGTCTTTGTTTTTAATGCGCAGTGCCTGATGACTTGTAACAGGGAGCATCTTTTCATGTTGGCCTGGTTTGTGTTTTTCTGCTCACTCAGGCAGCCCTGGAGACAGGGTAGGGGTGGGGAGGCCAGTGAGTCAGACGTTGCCACAGCCAGGTGTGAGACGGGCTGAGGCAGTGGTGGAGGCCAAGGATGGGCACTGCTCAGGCCCCAGACACAACTCTGAGGGCGCAGTGCGCCAAATGCAGAGATTCCACCTCCCAGTGATGCAGGGCCTCTCCTCATCCAGGACAGGAAGTCCTGGGGCAGGCTGGGTGAGTGGGTGGTCTGGGAATCTGGCTTGTCTGTCCTTCGTGGCAAATGGATGAGACAAGATGGTGTATTGTAGAAACTTCAGCCAATGCTTTCTGAAGGCCAAGGGAGGCCTCCTTGTGGCCCCTTTTAAAATGAGGACCTTCCAAGGCCCCGCTCCACCCGACCCAGACTTCCTGTACATCCCCGTGGAACTGCATGCCCTGCCCGCTCCTAAGCTGCTAATGGGCAAGTGCCAGGGCTTCACGTCCCAGCACACACCAGGGTGCTTGAGGCGTTTCTGCTCGGGCTCCCTCTGCTCACAGTGCCCTTGGGGATTTTCCCATGTGAAACACTGTACTTCCAAGTTGCTTCCAAAAACAGCTGTAGGCCAGTTGAGGGGTCTGCTTGGGGTTCCCACAGCCTTCTGGGACCCAATCCGAATGGTGTTTCTGTGGCTCAGCCCCATGTGGGATCATGATTGACAGAACCATGATGGGACATCCATGGGGAGGGGGCTGGACCTGGGATGGCCACATCCACCCCCCGCCCCCATGCAGGACTGGGAACAACCTCTGGAGAGGGCCTCAGTACAGGCCTGGGGCTAGAAGAAAAAACCACCTGAGGCTCCAAGCCAGGATGTGACCTGCCCAAGACCATGGTCAAGGGCAACCTCACTTCCAGCCCACCCCCTTTCTTTTGTCTTTTTGAGAGAGTCTTGTTGTGCAGTTCAGGCTGGCCTTGAGCTCACTTTGCAGCCCAGGCTGGTCTAGAACTCGCAATGATCCTCCTGCCTCAGCCTCCCAAGTGCTGGGATTACAGGTGTGCTCCACCATGCCTGGCCCAGCTCCCTTTTTGAGGCCTGGACGCAGGTCTCTGTTCCAGGGCCTCTTAGATTTTGAGGTGGCATGACTCACTGGGGTCAAGTTAGAGGGGGTGACTCCCTGGGGACACCTTAGAGGCACATTCGGATTCACTATGTCAGGGTGGGCTGGACTCCCTGCTGCCACACAGGAATGTCACAGCCCTTGGCCTGTGGAAGAACTGGATTCTCAGCCTTGTCCTCAGAGGCCCATGGCCACCAGCAGCCACATCAGGAAGGACAGGGTGTGGCCAGGAAGCCACCGTAAGAAACCCCAATCTCCATGTTCTGCCCTGCCTGGCCACCCAGGACATGCGAGCCGCAGGAACGTTTTATTAAGTTAAGAAGGTTTGTGGAGGAGGGGAGAGGCGCTTTCATGGGTGACGCCAGCGGTTCCATGCCCAGCGCCCTCAGAGGCGGATGTGGGGCTGCTGGCTCCCTCTGTTCCTCTGCCCCTCTGTCCAGAGCCCCAGGGTGTGGGTCCACCCTGGGCAGGAGGTCGTTAGTAGGACGTAGGGTGGGAAGGGGGCTGGCTTCCCGACCCTCCTGGGCAGCATCCACCGCCGGGGCCACGGCCCAGAAGCCCAAGCAGGAGACAGAGACAGGGTGGAGCCAGGGTGGAAGCACACGCCACCAGGGTTTGCTTTTTCAAAAAGTATAAAGTGTTTGGGGGAAAAAAAGTCTATATAAAAATTTCTTCACATATAAAATCCTGAAGAAGGTGCAAGGTAAGACCCAGTGCGAGGGGCACGCTCAGATATGCTGTTTGTGTGTATTTGTGTATGTGTGTGTACACGTGTATGCTTGTGTGCACCTGTTTGTGTGTGTGTGCTGCAGGTGTGCACATGCCCGTGGCCCATAGGAGGAGGGGAGGAAGATTGGCGTTTGACTTCCGTCAGGGAAGGAGGCCGCTGGTCTCCTTGGGCAGGGGTTGTGCAGCTGGCTGGACCAGGAGGACCTGGGAGACGAGGGTAGATGCTGAGGCCTGGGGAGGTCCCCCATTAAGGGGGTGACCAGGTCCCTCCCTGCGGCCTGCCTGGGCTGCTCCTCCCAGTGCAATGCTACACAGCACCAGAAGCCACTGCGAGATGGGTGTGGGTGGGTCCAGGCCTTGTGGTGTCTGTAGCTCCCACCTCTATTCCGCCAGGCTGTTGCGCATGGCCTCCTTCTCCTGCAGGGCGGCCATGGCGAGCCGCAGGTGCTCCTTCAGCTGCTCGATCTCCTGCTCAGACCTTGTCTTGATGTGGTTGAGCTCCACATACACATCCTGGTACTTTCCGGAGGTGAAGCGCTTGTCCTGCGGGGAGGGTGGCTACTATGTCTCCTCTGCTGGCCAGCACTCAGCAGTCGAGCCCTCTGCAGCCCCAGCCCTGGGCCTACCCCTCCAATGCTTTCTGGTGACATGGGGCATAGGGCTTGTTGTCACTTTCTCTTGTTGGAGGGAAAGGCAGGCTTAAGAGGGTGAAAGGAAGTGAGTGGCCCAGGGCTCACGCCTTTGCCTGAACACTCTGCTCGCCAAGGGCAGTGACCACTGTGCCAATCAGAGCCACCCATGTGGCCATTTCCTGCCCCAAAATGGTTAAGGCCCCAGCAGCCACAGGTGGCCAGGCTGGCCACAGGTTCAGACCTTGGCTAGGACCCAGACCCGACTGGATCATACTTGACACACAGGTGGGGGCGTGGGCCTGTCCCTCCACAGCTGTATCTGCAGCACCTAGCACGGTGCCTGGCACACAGCAGGGCTCAACAATAAGAAGAAAATTAACACTCAGGGGGCAGAGGCAGGAGGATCGTTGTGAGTTTGAGACCAGCTTGGGCTATAGAGGGAGCTCAAGGCCAGCCTGAATTGCATAGCAAGACCCTGTCCCAAAAAGACGAAAAAAGGGCCGGGAATATAGCCCAGCAGCATAAGGGCCTGCCTGGCAAGTGCAAGGTCCTGAGTTTGATTCCTGGTACCAAAAAAAAGAAGAAAATTAAATAACGCTGAATAAATAGAAGCAAGTGTGGCCCAGTCACTTCACCTTTCTTGGCCAACATTTCCTGGTCAGTAACTGGAGGCAATGATGGATGCCTCTGGGGGTTAGGGTTAGGGGGCACGGAGAGAGCAGAGGAGAGGCTGAGGCAGAGGTGCTGCTCCCAGGCTGGGCCCCAGGTGGCCCCAGCGCGCCCCCTCCACATCTGGCGCTCAGCGGGCACCCACCTTCTGCATAGTCTGGAGCTCGTCCCGGAGGCACTGCACTTCCTTCTTCAGGTACTGGAGTTCATTCTCCTTCACCCGTAGCAGCACCTGGGGGTACGGGGCCAGGGTGACCCAGTGTCAGAGGCCAGAGTGCCTCAGGCCTGCAGCACTCAAGCCTGGCTTCTCCCTGCTTCAAGCCCCAGGCAGCAACACCGACCCCAAGAAACCCCCCACCCTCTGCAGACTTCCTGGGGTCCCGCTCTGACCTCTGTCATCCCTGCTGCAGCCCCAACAGAGCATCAGGCCCCCTACTGAGGTGGGGGAGTCAAGAGGAAGCCATGCTGGGGCCCTAGTTGTGTGGGTCAGGCCTCGTGACCATGGTGGGAAACCCCATGAGTCCTCCCAGCCTGAGCGGCCATGCTGCTGACATGACCAGGGGAAGCAGCTCCAGCAGGGACCGGGACCAGAGCCAGGTTGCTGGGTTCAAACCCGACACTGAAGGGGATGTGACCTCCGAGGCACCTGACCACCGTGTCGGCCTCCTCGTTATCACCTGGGACAGTAACAGCATTTAGCCCACGGAGCTATAGGAAAATGAGATCAGGGAAATGAAGGACTTACAGGAGTCCAGATGCAGACGGAAGCCTTGTACGTTTGCTAAATAAAATACACAAATCTCACTCCAACCTCCCAATGTAAGGGAGGTGCCCACCCATTTCACAGATGTGCTCCTGGGGCTCACAAAGGCAGGTAACTTGCCATGGCCACAAGCAGGTAGGTAACAGGACTCTGGCTGCCGGGTGTGCCACGAGAGTGCGGCCTCGCCTGGGCACCGCCCCTCAGAGGCTTGTGTGCAAGATACTCCAGGCCCAGGGAGCCTGCTCACCTCCAGCTCACAGGAGCTCCGCTCGCCGCCCCGCCCACAGCTGTTGCTGGTGCCCTTGGAGGCCACGAAGCTGCGCAGCCGGTCAATCTCCTCCGAGAGGCGGGCGTGCAGCTCCTGCAGGGAGGGACAGTCTGAGTGGGAGGAAGGGTCGGGGTGGGAGACGGCCCTGAGTCCACGCCCGCTGTGAGGCCCACCTGGTTGTGGCGCAGCAGCTCCTGGCCCTCCTGCTGGCAGCGCCGCAGCTTGTGCTCCCGCTCCTCAGCCTGCCGCGTCAGTGTCCCGATCTCTAGGCACTTCTGTGAGTACTGCTCGGACAGTACCTGCAGCTCCCGCTTTAGTGCTTCCACGTCGGACCTGTGCCACAGCCAGGGTGTGGTGGGCTGTCATACTCCACCAAGGCCTTGGGTTCTCTCCACGGTCTGCCCTCAGCCAGTGCCGGCTGTGAGCAGGGACAGCCTCCTGGAGCGGCCTCTCTAAAACCCCTATAGCTCCAGCGGTCCAGACTGTGCTGGGATGGGAGACACCTACTGCAGGCATGACATTGCAGCCCAACTCTAGGAGACACACAGAGGTGAGGCGTGGAAGACTAACAGCCAAGACAATTACGGACCTGACGGGCTGCCTGAGGACCTGGGACTCCGCTCCTGTGAGGCTGAAATGGGGGCTCATCCAGGGGGACCCACATGTCCTCTGCCCAGGGTCTGAGCAATGTCCCCAGCTCACCCACTCCAACCCAGAGGCTCACAGCATACAGATCCAGGGCCCGGGTGACGCCTTACTGGTGCTGCCTCCGGAGGCCGTCAGGGCCCTGCTGGAGACTCCGGGTTTTGCTCAGCTCCCGGCTCAGCTCCTCCTGGTAGGCCTTCTTCATGGCCTCAATGGCTGGGAGCAGGAAGAGGGGAGAGGAGGAGGAGGGTGGAGAGGAGCGACACCAAGGTAAAGATGGGACAGGGACCCAGGTGCACAGAGCACTGGACCAGGGGCCAGAGCGGTCCACGCTGTGTCCTGAACAGAGTGCCTCTGGGAAGCTGCTCTCTGCCTGTCATGGGAGGAGCTGTCTCCTGGGGAGACACCCCAGTGCTCAATCACTGACACCGTCAGCTGCTGGTGGCTTCTGTTTGAGATCTCACGGCGAGCACCATCCCCAAGAGCCTCTGAACAACACCGTCTGCTTTGCCCAGCTTAGGATCCAGAGCTCGGGCTCTGCAGTCAGTGCAAATCTGTGTAACTGTGCAGGTCACTTAACCCCTCTGCGCCTCAGGACCCGCATATGGCAAATATGGGGGGTGCAGCTTCTCTTCAGGGGATTACTGGAAGCTGCGTGCAGCACCTCTGCAACAGGCCTGGCACAGTAGTTCCATTTCTCAGACTATGGGCTCCCAAAGACTGAGTTGTTTTCCCATCACATAGGGTTGCGGTAAGAATTAAACAAATCTAGGCGCTGGGGATATGGCTCAGTGGTAGAGTGCTTGCCTTGCATGTACAAAGCCCTGGGTTTGATCCCTGGCATCACCAAACAAACAGAATTAAACAATCCTCACCCAGTTTTATCCACTTTTTTTTTGTCGGGGGACAGTGTCTCACTATGCAGTTCCAGCTGGTTTCAGGCTCTCTATGTAACCCAGACTGGCCTCAAACTTGTGGTAATCCTCCTGACTCAGCTTCCTGTGTGATGGGATTACAGGCCACCATGGCTGGTTTACCCACAATTTAAAAATCCAAAAAGCTCTGAACACTGAAAGTACCTCATCACCCTTCTGGTGGGCAATCCTCAATGCCCAGGGCCAAGGGGCTATTTATGGTCTTTATTGTTCCACATCTATTTCCCTGTGAAGACTCAATGCTGGGTTATACGTGGTCCCTGCCTGGGCAGGGATAAACAACATCTGCAGCCTGCACTGGTGACTTCCCTAAGAGGAAGGCACGGGGTCCCATGGCTGGGAAACAGGGGCCATGGGTTGAGTGCACGAAGTGCTTTCCCAGTGCTGGCAGGATGTGGGCTCCAGCTGGCCTGACCTCTTTCATGCCCTGTTAGCCTGCAGACCCCTGGGGGTGCCTAGGACATGGCAGGCACATGCAAGGGGTGTGCTGAAGAGCGGGTGGTGGAGTCATCTTGGGCATTTCCTGTTTCTGACTTTGGGGTGGTGGCGGGGTTTAGAGAGTGGCTTTGCAGTCAGAGGGTTCTGGCTCTGACCCCAGCTCTGCTACCTCCAAGCTGTACCCTTTGGGACAAGTCACTGACCCCTCTGAGGCCTGGCCTCCTCACCTGTGAAAGGGGCTGCTCTGTGGGGCTGGTGAGGACTAACGGGGCTCTCGTGAGGCCCATGTGGGGCACAGAGTGGGACCCATGTGCCTAGGACATGCTGCTCCCCCAGCATGGGGGTGCAGACCCCTGAGGGAGAGGAGACCTCCCTGCAGCGTCCTGGTACTCACCTGAGGCTGTGGCTGCCGTCTCCTCGGCCAGCAGCTGTTCCTTTTCCTGCTGCAGCCGCTGTAGCTCACGTTCATGGTGTCGCTGCAGCTGCTCCATTGCCTGCTGGTGCGAGGACTCCATCTCTGCCAGGCCGCGCTCACAGGCCTCCTAGGGGCCAGAGGCCAGGCATCAGGGCCGGCCCTGCTGCCTCCCAATGGCCCTGCTAAGCGAGGAGCCTCAGGGACAAGCTCACAGCTGTCCCCAGAGCCAGGGCCACCAGCCTGCACCTGCCCCCACTGCCCCATCCCCAAACCTCACCCGCCACTGTCCCACCTCAAGCTTTCCGAGGGGCCTCCATCCTGCAGGGTCAGGGCCCTGATCTGCGGTGGTCCTTGTGGCCTCATCCCTGCCTGGCCTTTTCTACCAAGCAGCCTCAGTTACAAAACAACCCTGGGCAAGCTCAGGCCTCTGAGCGAAGTCCTGGGTCCATGCCAGGGCACAACATGTGGCAGGTGCTTAGCCACTGAGCTGAAATTGGTGACTTAATACAAAACAGCGCTTTGCAGACAAGCTGGGCAAGCACTCAAAAGCCTGAGGATGCCCACTGCTGGGAGCACCCACTGTGACAGGTGCGTGGGGACAACCGTTTTTTACTCAGCAGTTCCTCTCCTAGGAATGAGCTGCAGGAAGCCACACAAGTACAAAGACTCAGGAACAAGGCTATTCCCTAAGGCCATGTTGGAACCCCTGTAATCAAGTTAAGTGCAGAAATGGAGATATCTTTAAATAAATGATGGGCTCGAGCCCCACACAGCACCCCAGGCAGCCATTAAAAGATGGAGGTGCCACCTTGGAAAGATGCCCTGGACAGATGTCCCAGAGGCCAGGGGATGAAAGCTGGCTCTCGACGACACACATGGTGTGGTCCCACTCGGGACAAAACACAGGAATGAGGATGGAAAGGAAGAATAACAGGCCCCAAAGTTGTTCCGGTCCTACTCCCAGGACCCATGACCCTGTCACATTATGCGGCAACAGGAATCAGCTGACCCCAAATCAGGAGATTATTTTAGGTTTTTGTTTGTTTGTTTGTTTTTCCGGTACCGGGAATCGAACTCACAACCTCGCGCTTGCCAGTCAGGTGCTGTGCTGCTGAGCTAAATCCCCAGCCCCCCAGGAGATTATTTTAGACTGTCTGCTGGGCCACAGGAAACCACAGGGGTCCTTAATAGTGGCAGGGAGGGCAGGAGACAAGGATGGTCACCGTGACATAAAGCGATAAGGACTGGACTTCTCGTATCAGCCACCAGGAGCCTGTGAAAAGAGTAAGCTCTTGCAGGTGTGCAGTCGGCCTGGCAGGCTGTATGTCAGGCTTCTAAACAGAGCTAGGCAGGTGAATGCCTTTGTCACTGACGCAGCCCTCTGTGATGACCTTGCAGTAGCCACCAGGAAGCTCATGCGTGTGGTGCCGTGGTCACCGAGGTGAGCCCGGGGTGGACCGGGCGGGGAGGAGCATGCCCATGTGATATGAATTATTATTTTTGTTATGCTGGTGATAGAACTCAGGGCTTTGCATATGCCAGGCAGGCACTCTACCACCGAGCTATATCCCAGCCCATCATCTGAGTTACTTTTGGGAAGTGGAAATATGTCTCTTATATCGTTTTTAAAAATATGTTTAAGGGCTGGGAGTAGCAATGCACGCCTGTGGTCCCAGCACTCGGGAGGCTGAGGCAGGAGTATGAGATCAGCCTGAACTACATAATGAGTTCAAGGCCAGCCTGGGCTAAATAACCTGTCGCAAAGAAAAAAAACAAACAAAAAGTGTTTAAGGACATTTAAAAAAGAACAGGGAGAGCTAGTAAAGAAACTGAGGCACAGAGGGCCTGAGAAGAACTGTCCCACCAGCAGGGCCTGCTCCCCGCTCCCCTGCAGCCTGCCTCCACGGAAGAAGGGCCTCCCGGGTCCAGGTGTTGAGTGGGAAGAGGGATGTCTGCTTGCTGGGCCTCCATGCCTGCCCCCCTCTTAGGATGACAGAACGTAGCTTTGGAGCCCCACTGCCTGGGTCCCCGAGATTCTGAGTAAGCCCTGCCTTCTCTGGGCCTCAGCCTCAGTGGTGTCAAGTGGGCCTCACAAGACCACCCAGGTCAGGTCAGGGGCAAGGTCGGCCCAGCCCAGTGCTGTGGGGGTGCGGCCTGTGATCTTAAAGGGCCAGCACAGGCAGGTGGCCCTGGGAGTTGAGGGGGTGCAGGGGTAATGGCGGGAAGTGGGAATCAGGCCATGAGAAGGGCTCCTAGCAAGTCATGTGCTGCTCTGACCTACCTTCCAGAGGAGGCAAGGAGTCCTACATGGGCACGCCTCTGACAGGAGGATGATGGCAAGGTAGATGAGAAATGCCAGTGCCCCCCAAGTTAGCCTGGAAGCGTCACTTTGTCACAGAAGGCACTGGGGTGCCAGTGTACGAAGTCCCAGGCCACTGAAAGCTGTCCTGCACTGGCAAGGCTGCCCCTGGCCCCACAAGAGGGGCTCCCTTTCAGCCTGAGACTGTAGGCCAGGCATCCCTCCCAGCCGTCACGTCCTCAGGGTCCACGGAACTGTCAGCCACCTCCTTCCTGTGCCTGAGGGGCCAGGTGACGCTGCCCCTCTTCTCTGCAGCCCTATATATGCCCCAGTTCCCAAATATTTTCAGACCATTGCCTTCTCCCCTCCCCCACCCATTCCAACCTATCCAGGCCAGAGAAATGTGCACCCCCAATGAGGCGAGCATGGCCTAAGGCCCTGGGCAGGGCCTTGAAGGTCTTCTCAGTGGCTAGGCAGCTGCTGTGTGGGCCCAGCCTTCCTGCAGAGGCCCAGCCTAAGGCAGCTGTGACAATACCGCTCCCCTCAAGGCCAGGAGACCCCAGATCCTGACTGTTCGTGCCCCCCCCAAACTTCCCATCCTCCACTTGGGGACCCCTGCAGTGTGGCAGCCCCAGCCTCAAGGCCCCTGTAGGCTCCCTTGTGTCCCTAGGACCCGGTGACAAGTCCGAAATCCCCCTTTTTCCTGATGCCCTGCCGTCTACACCCCTCCATCCATGGCCCAACTCCTTTTTTTTTTTGCGGTACCGGGGATCGAACTCACGACCTTGCGCTTGCCAGGCAGGCGTTTATGCCACTGAGCTATATTCCCAGCCCCCAACTCCTTAGACCTGGGCTTTGTACTCCAAGGCCACCTTCCCATGTTGCTGGTGACCTAAGGTCTGTGGAACGAGATTCAGCTTGTCCCTGGAGGCTTTACCACAGGCACCAACCTGCCTTTTCCCACCACAGACGATGTCCCTACCCACAAGCCACTGCATGGATTGGCACTGGCCCCTCAGCAAACTGTCCTGGAGCCCCTTCACTCTGACCCCCCAGAAACTTCTAGAAGCCTCGCACTGCCCAGGGTACGGGATCCCAGCATTCTTTTCTTCTTTGGGCAATCATGTGCTGAGGGCAGACAGGTGACTCAAATTTTTAGAAATTTTGTGACTTGGTTGCTAAGCAAGGCCTTTATGTTTTGTTTTGTTGGAGACAGGGTCTTGCTATGTAGTTCAGGCTGGCCTTGGCCTCAAAACTGCCTCAGCCTCCTGAGTGCTGGGATTACAGGTGTGCACTGCCATGCCCAGTGCAAGGGCTACTTTAAAAAATCAAATGTACATACTTACAATTATATTAGGTACATTAACAACGAAAGTAATAGATACTCAAAATTTGTGGCTTCGTATTTCACGGTACTTTTTTTTCCCTATTTCACAGCACTGTACTATTATATGCACTCCCTTGAAGTTACTTATGTCCATTATGTCTATGTGGCAAAAATACTAAGGAAAGGGTGCCATCTCCTTGTGCTCAGGCACTTTGCACTGGGAGCCTGATATTGGAGGTAGTGGGAGTGTTTACACCATGGGAACTGGTAATGTTCCAAAATGGGATTTCATTTATTGTTTTACAGATTCTCTTAAGCAAGCAAAAGATGGCCAAAATATCCTTATTGGAATATTCTCAGTCTCAAAAGAGTATTCTGACGCCATTCAGCAAAGAAATTGCTCACAACATCAACCAAGAAAAGAAAGTTTCTGTCTTCTCGTCTCACTCATTAGCATAAACCAAAATGTCCACCCGTGTACACAGCAGAATTATACGGTAGTTAGCTGTGGATAGAAGTGCACAGAAAACTCACTGAAAGCATTCTGAGAAAAACCCACTTGCTACATGGAAGTCACAAAAAAGTGTTAGGGTATTTTTTTATTTGAAAATTATGTACTAAACATCTTTTATATCAGCAAAATTTATGATAAATATGTGTACACACACACACACACACACACATACACACATATACACGTATTTTTTTCTGGAGAGCTAGGTGTCCCAGTGGTGACAACCAAAAGTGTCCTCAGACACAGCCAACTGTCCCCAGGGGACAAAATCAGCCTCAGTTGAGAACCGCCGTCCTAGGCGGACGTGTGCTCACTCCCTGGGGCCGAAGAGGGCTGCCATGTCCTGCAGGCCTCCTGGGTAGGCCCGAGCAGGCGCTCCCTGTGTTTGGGGGGTGACCCCCAGGGCCACCGGCTCCCCACTTCCCCAGGGTGCTGCAGGGGAAGGGGTCCAAGTGCAGAGTGTCACACGGGGACTCACACAGGCTCTGCAGTCCGCTGGACCCAGGCTCAAATCCCACCTCTGACACCTGCAGGCCGGGTGACCTCGGGCAAGTCACATACCCTCTCAGAGCTCAGTGGCCTTGTCTGTAAAATGGGCACAGTGATCATGCCCACCAGCTGTGGGGAGATTAAAGGAGATGATGCATGTCAAATGCTGCCACACATGGGTCCCGGCACACAGCAAGGGCTCCCAGAATGTCAACTGTTTTCAGATAACACAGCAAGCAGAAACCTGTCCCAACCGCACGAGAGAGCACCTTGGTCTTACCTGTGAGATGTAGCCCGGAGGGACGTGGCTGTCCTCCCGGGGCCTGGGTGTGCTCTGTGGAGCCTCCCCTCGGACTCGCCATGCCTCCAGCTGGGCACGAAGAGACTGCACCTATGGGAATGAGACCGGGTCACTGTGTGCCACAGGAGGGGCCTGGGGCTCCCAGCTCTGTGCCGCTTCAAGGGCAGACCCCTGGCTGCTGGGGAACAGCTGTTTTTTGGGGGGGTTTTGGTACCAGGAATTGAACTCAGGACATTGTGCTTGCTAGGCAGGCGCTTATGCAGGTGAGCTATATTACTGGCCCAACAGCTCTGATTTTGAGACAGGCAAGAAGCAGCCCTAGTGTGGAGGGGCAGGCAAGAGGGACATCCTAGCCAGATGCGGTGGTGCACACCTGTGATCCCAGCACTCAAGAGGCTGAGGCACGAGGACTGCCTTGAGTTTAGACCAGCCTGGGTTATACAGTGAGTTCAAGACCAGCCTGAATTACACAGCAAGAGCTTGTCTCAAAAAACAAAACCAAAAACAAAAAAAGTGGGGGATATCATGGCTGTGTCATAGATGGCGAGGTCAACGTCCTGGGAAAACTCAGGCCCAGAGACAAGAGGACAGAGCTGACTACATTGTGATACAGCTGGGGAAATATATCTGAGCCTCCGTTTCCCCATCAGTAAAAGTGTGAAGAGGTCTCCTAGGTGGGCTCACACAAAGCCGGGCACACAGGAGATGCACGATACATAAACAGTCCCACCCCTGGCTTCCCATTTCCGATCTCTGCGCTTACTAAAGGCAGGAGAAAACGAAACGAAACACCACAGTCCTGGGAAGGAGGCTCCTATTCACAAGGAGCCTAAGGTAAGGACAGTGAGAGATAAGGAGTGAGCTTCCCGTCACTGTGGGTAGGCAAGGCAAAGGCCGGGGCATGCAGGGACGAGAGGGGCGTGCTGTGAGGGGCCCACCTCCTTCTCCAGGGCCTCATGGCTGTCACTCGGGGGTGCTCGGCGCTCACTGCGGCTTTGGTTGAGCAGGGCGGTGAGCGGCACCCGTTTGTTGTCCCGCAGGGGCAGCTTCTCCAGCTCCTGCCACTTCTTCTCAATCTCCTCGCTGAGCCGGCTCTGCTGGTCCTCGGTCAGGGGGGCGCCCAGGCCCCGGCGCGGCGCCTCGCCGGAGGGTGTCTCCGGGGCCCGGCTGTCTGTGGCCTCGAACCACTTGCGCCGCTCCTCGGAGCGCTGGGCCAGGTCCCGCTCCAGCTCCTCCTGCTTGGCTGCGGTTCGGGCCCGCTGTGGGCCGCCCTGGGTTAAGGGCGAGAGCTCCACATAGTCCAGGGCCTGCCGGGGCCCATCCGTCTTGCGGGGGCCACCGCGCCCGCTGACCTCAGAGCCGGCCCGCTGCTCCCCCGCCTTCAGTGATCCCGTCTGGGGGCCGAAGCCGTGCGGCGTGTTCTCCTTGTTGCAGTCCGAGAGCCTAAGGCACCAGCAGGGACTCATCAGGGGGACCTGGGCCACTCGAGAGCACTTCGGGCACCACCTGGGCACCAGGCCCTGCGCACAAGGACCCCAGCAGGCAAGCGGCCCACCCTCCAGGCTGAGAGCTCCAGCGTCATGGTCAGCGGACCCGGAGACATCCACCTCCGCCACTTTCCAGCAGGGGGCCCACCTGTCTGCCTCCCTTCCCTGTTCGGGGTCTCAGTTACCTCATCTGTAACGTGGAACAGCACCATCACGCACAGCAGCAACGCAAGGGCTGGGTGAGCTAATGTGTACAAAGCAACCAGGCAGCCCTTGGACAGCACTGTCAGCGCGTTACTATTGAAAGTATGAAACAGCTGGGCGTGGTGGTACATGCCTCTAACCCCAGGACTCTGGGAGGCTGAGGCAGGAAGACTGCCAAGTTTGAGTCCAGTCCAGGCAACTTAGTGACTTGGAAAGACCCTGTCTCAAAATTCAAAATAAAAGATAAAAAAGGGCTAGGGATGCAGCTCAGTGTGAAGGTCCTGGGTATAATCCCAATCCCACAAATGAAAAAATAAAGAAAGTATGAAACAAAATAACATATGAGGCATGGATCTGAGTTCAGGAAGCTCATGGTTGGGGGGGCAGTCACAGCCACTGCCGACAGGGTAAGGACAGTGCTGTCTGCGTGCACAGAGCACTCTGAGTGAGCATGCTGGTCCTCGTCTTCCACAGTACAGCTCGGTACACGGTCGCCAGCCAGAAGCTGCCCTTCCCTGAGTCCTGCAGTAGCCTGTGGCCATGTGACCGTGTTCCTCTGGGGCATGACAGACAGCTCCCCCGGAAGGGTTGCGCGACCCTGGCTCCCACTAGGACTCCAGGCGAGCCCAGGTAGCACCCTCCAGCCAGAGGCCAAGTGGGGAGCTGAGGGCCACAGGGCTGTCCACAGACCGGGCTCCACACCTCTGGGCCAATCCTGAGAATGAATTGAACACCCTTCTTGCTTAAGCCACTGATCTGGCACTTATTAAAGCAGCAGAGCCTATGGGCTAAGTCACAGTCCTTACAAAGGGCTCTGGGCACACGGCATATATGCAGACAGGACAGTCAATGTGACAGATGAGGGCTCTGACACAGGCCGGGAGAGCCACTGGCCTAAGGCTGAACAATGGGGCTGGGGGGGCGGGGGTTGCTGAGCGGAGGCCATGCTCTGTTCCGGCTGCCCAGTGCTGCAAGCCCCAGCCCGGAGAGGGCTCTGCCACCCGCTGACACAGTCCCCCGTCCTCTCCTGCGGCAGCCTCAGACCCTGTCCCACTTCTCAGGATGTGGAGGGCTATGATGGGATGGTGAGGCAGACTCAAGACCCTGGATGAATTTCTGCATGAATGTTGAGAATGCTCACTGCTCGCCCCATTTTGCTGCTAAAGAAACTGAGGCCCAGAAGGCACAGCCACAGGGCCCCCACGTAAGTGCCCCATGTGGGTGGTAGCCTCTCCCCCAGGGCCCCAGCCCAGCCCAGCACATACTTGGTGACATCAGGGGCTGAAGTTGGACGCACAGTCTTCCTCAGGGCCTCGATCCAGTTCCGCCGGATGCCAGAGGTCATGGCCGACAAGGTATAGACAGCATCCTTGGTCTGCAAGTCCACACCACGGGAAGGCTGCCACATGGCCCGGCCCGCATTTCCTCCCCACTGCAGCCCCCAGGGAGGGTGGCCCTTTGGTTCCGGTCTGAGGCCAGGGTGAGGAGGGGGTTGAGGTGGGGGAAACTCCCTTGCTCAGCTTGGGAGGAGCACGCTGGCTTCGTGTTCTCCCAGGTGCGCTGGGTACTGGCACTGAGGACAGGGTCTCTGGGTCAGCTCCCTGGTGCTCTGTCCGTCCCCCCGCCCCCCTCTGCTGCACACAGACTCACGTGGATCTGGAAGCCATAGTTGCGCTGCACCGCATACTCTGTGACGTCCGTGCAAGACCGCAGGTCGATCTCGCCGTCCAGCTCATCTGCCTAGAGCAGGGGACCCACCGTTGTCCACACGGGTCCTGGGGACACCCACGCCGCTGACCCCAGCCAGGACATCCAGCCCTCCCACGGGTCCCTGGCACTAGCTGCCTCACCTCCTCAGCGGTGGAGTCTCTGTAATACTTGAGGCTTGAATCCGTCAGCACGAACCAGTGCTTCTTCCACTGAGGAGAGAGGTGTGGTGAGCGAGGGGCAGGGAGCTGATGAGCCCTGGGCGGCTGGCGGTCAGCTAGTCTGCGCACAGTTGGACTTGAAGGCAGCCCCTCCGTTACCTCTTGGAGCCACCAGGGCAGCATCTGTGACATGGGTTGGCTTCTCCTCTGCAACCACACCCTCCCTGTCCATTCTCTGATTTGCTAATGCTCCCAGAACCCTCTAAAGATGGACAAAGCTCCTCACACACCTCCCCTGGTGCAGCTTGGACAGGGCATGTGACCTGCAGAAGGTCACGTCCCTAGCACGTCAGGAACTACTGTGGCTGAGACTCTCCAAGTCTTGTCTTGTCTTTTCTCTTTTTTTGTCTTTTTGAGACAGGGTCTCACTATGCAGTTCAGGCTGGCCTTGAGCTCACTTTGTAGCCCAGGCTGGTCTCAAACTCACAACGATCCTCCTGCCTCAGCCTCCTGAGTGCTGGGATTACAGGCGTGCGCCACCACGCCGGCTGCAAGTCTTTTCTGTATGCTCCCCAGCTCTTGGATTGGCGAAGACAAAGGTCCAGGGGGACTGGACAGGGCCCAGGGCAGGCGAATGAGCACTAGTTGTAGTCTGTTTCTTGATCTGCTAGCTGGATCTTGGCATTCATCCTGGTTGTTTTTTCTTTTTGTTTTTTTGTTTTTTTGAGACAGGGTCTTGCTATGTAGTTCATGCTGGCCTAGAACTCACTATGTAGCACAGGCTTGCCTTGAACTCGAGGTGATCCTCCTGCCTCAGCCTCCCAAGTGCTAGGCTTACTAGTGTGCACCACCATGCCTGGCCCTGCATCCTGATTTATATTCAGGATGTTGGTCTGCAATGTCTCTCTGCTCTAGCTGAGTTAGGCTGCCAGGATATGAAGGAAAGGGGTAGGGGCACCAGATCAGTCCGATGCCACACAGTCCCAGCTCAGCCTACCTCCAAGCTCTGGCCATTGAAATACCAGTCGAGGGAGGTCCACCCACTGCCAGGGCTGGTGCATGACGTGGGGCTCCCCAATGTCACCAAGCTCTGTCTACGTTGCTTGGGTTTTTTAAGTACTTAGCTTCCTTCTTCTGGGACATGGTAGTTTTCGTAGATGTACAAGAGTGATACTACTTCCTATGCTGCCTCCACAAAGGGAGTTTTAGCATCCAGGAACCTAGAATGTGATTGTTCCCTTGCTAGATTATCTATGTGTCTCCAGGCACACATCTCCACTCCTCTGACTGTCACTCTGACCTGCACAGTAGGGCTACTGGGAAGGCCCTAAGCTATCTGGCAAGGTGAGAAGCACCTACTGCTCTTGCATGTCTCCCATGGCTCCTGCCTGGCACGGGGACAGGCACCAGGTTGCTGGGGAAGGTTCTAAGAGGCTGGTCCCTTAGGGCCACCCTGCTTGGCCTGAGTAGACCTCAGCGTCTCTCTTCTAAGTGGGGCAAGTTCAGTGGTGAATGGCTCAGGCCCTCTCAGGCCTACTCTGTTTCTGAGACAGAGCTGCGGCCCCAAGTTCCGGCCCTGGGCTGCCCGCGGTGCGGTCCAGCCCGGCCTGGCAGGGACGCAGGCTCTCGGGACTGCCTCCTGTCTGTACACCCGAGGCTGGGCAGGCTGCACTCCTGGGGCCCTTCCAGCTCGGACATTCCACGGCCCTGCGAAAGAGGATGAGTAAGGGCCAGCTCTGGGTGAGGCCTGTAATCCCTCTGCCCTCCGGGACCCTGGGTGGGGAGGCCAGGAAGGGGTCACTGGCGGGGCGCCAGCCCTTGTGTGCGTCTGGACAGCAGCCACCAGGGGACGGTATGCAGGCAGCAGGGACGGAAGGCTGTGGGCTAGGGAGAAGAAAGCATGTGGGCAGGAAACAATGAGATTCCCTCTGGCTCGGAGCCCTGTCCGGCATGCGGGCTGCACACACGGCCGGCCGCAGGCACATGCAGGCGCGGGTGGGAGTTGTCCCCTCCCAGGCCAGGTGGGCAGTGAGCCAGCTCCAGCGCTCAGGCTCCGGCCTGGCAGCCAAAAGGGTAGAGTTGCTGAAACAGCCACTGTCCCCTCTGGTTCCAAGGATGGCTATGTTCGGAAAAGGGAGGGTCATGGGAAGAGTCCCCAGTAGGTACCAGGGGCCGTGTGGGGCGCTTTACATGCTTGATCTCTGCAACTGCGTTCTCCACCCATGACCCTTCATGCCCACATCACGGGCGCAGCCACTGAGGCCTAGAGAAGGCTGCATGGCCCCACAGGGGTGAGACTGCTGAGCTCCTTCTCCCAGCCCCACCTCGGGGGCCAAGTTTGAGAATCTGTCTTGGGCCAGATGTGCAGCACAAGCCATCCTGCCCCAGATCCTCAGGGTCGTCAAGAGATGAGAGGGCCAAGAAGCACCCGGTAGGGCCGGGGCTGGCCTGCGGGGCATGGGGGCAGGGAGGCCTCCAACCCAGTGACTTGCACAAGCACACAGCCCAGGAGGCAGACGACCAGCAGCCGCTGTCCCTCCCATCCACGCGCAGCGCGCAGCTCTTTAAATGCTCGGTCCTGGGATTTTTACCTGGTTCCGTCTCTCACCACACGCCACCCCCAGAGGCCAGGGTCTCTAGAAAGCCGGACAGGCACTGGAAACCCTGTGGCGGCCCAAGCCAACCTCTCCTTCCCGCTCCAGCCCTCCTACCTCTCCTGGCTCGTCCAAGATTGACATCCATCCCTTCTTGAAGTTAAGCAGATCGGGCTGCGGAGAAATGAGGAGGCAGGCGAGTCAGGTCCGATGGAAAGCCACCTGGGCCGGGAAGCGGAGGGTGCTGCACCCACCCTGCCCAAGTCTGTTAGACGAGGTTCTGGGAAATCAGTGAGGGGCAAGGGCCCAGGAACCTCCAAGTCTAAGCAGTCTAACGCTGAGACAGCCTTGGCCCCCTTCCCCAACAGTCAGTTTTCTCTGGGAGCCAGCCCGGGGGGGCTGACACATATGCCACAGATGTCAGAGCTCCCCTCCATGCAAGCAGGGGAAAGGGGGACCAGAGGACTTGGTGCAGAGACCCCTCAGGAGACCAGCGAGCAGCCAGAACAGCAGGCTGAGCGATCTGCCCAGGTCCTCCTTGACCAGTCCATGCGCCACCAGGGTGGGCCTATGCTGTGCCCACCCCACCCACCAACCTGTGGTCAGGTCAGTCCTGCCCCTTCCTTGTCTCCTGGATACCCTGAAAGGTGAGCCAGTACCAGGCTGGGGTCAGAAAACCTCCGGTCTCGCTAGGTCTCTTTCGGAAGGCCATGGTACCTCAGTTCAGACAAGCCCTACCTGTCGGGTCCTGCCCAGGGGGGCACAGCCCCGGGGTCTACGGGCTCCCAACTGTAGCATGGTCCACAGGGGCCTGTGAGCCAGATGCCCTGCCAGGCCTAAGTGACAAAGCTGCTCATCCTGGCATCTTCCTGCCTATGCCCATGTGGAGGGCAAGGTCACCAGACCTCCTGTCTGCCGGGTCCCTCTGCAGCCTCAGCTCCTGCCCCCAGGCAGAGAGGCAAACAGGGCGCGCCAGGCTGGCGTGCAGGGAGGAGGCGGCCACCTGTTGCCATGGCTCTGAGCCCACCTATCAGCGCCTACATCGCGGCCTCACCAGGCCAAGGTGTCTGGTTGCGGGGAGGGAGCTCGTAGCAGGGTTCGGTGTGGGGTGGGCGGCGACAGCTGGAAACTAGAGCCAACTGACCTGGCCACCTCTCCCGACCTCTTTACAGGGAGCCCAGTCTTTTCCTCAGGTGGAGGAGGTGGGCCGAAAGCGGCTTGGGCCAGCAGCCTGGACATCCAGAGCCATGGCAAGGACTGTAACAGGCTGGCACCCTCGCCTCGCATACCTGTGGGAGGGAGGAGCCAGGAAACCCTGGGGCTGTGCTTGTCCTGTGTGCCCTCTATCCTACCCCACCACACTGCCGTGGCTTCTCTTCAGCCTGGGACCACCACGGCTCCAGGGTTTGGCCTCGAAGGACTCTGGAGAGGCTGCCAAAGAAATATCTTCCACTTCCCTGGGCTAAGTGCTTTAGGGACAAGGCCTCATCACAACCTGGCCCTAAGGTGCCAAGTTCCTTGGGGACAGACCCACTCAGCTGGCTTCGCAGGGCTGACCAGGGCGAGCCTGGAGGAACAAGTAGGCAAGAGCCAGTCAGGGGAGAGACGGGCCCTGGGCCTCGGGGAGCTGAGCCAGGGCTCCCCAACCACAGTGACAGCTGTGGGGACCACCAGAGCTGCTGGGAAGGGCAGAGGCTGTGACCTTCCTGAGTCACACCCCTCTCTGCTGCCTGATGTGACCAGTGACTGAGGCTCCTGCCCTTCCAAACAGTTCTGAATGTGCTGCAGACAGAGCCGCCCGGTGACCCTCCCTGGGTCAGTGCTGACACACCATGCGTCATGTCACACGCGACCTACCATGGCGACCTTGGGGAGGGGAGGCTGCCGGAGCATTTGTTCCTCTAGTACTGGGTTCTTAACCCAGGGCCTTGCAAATGCTAGGCAAGCACCCTACCACTGAACTATATCTCTAGCATTTTTACTTTTTTGAGGCAGGGTCTTACTAAATTGCCCAGGTTGGCCTTGAATATCTCATCCTCCTGCCTCGGCCTTCCAAGTAGTGGGAATACAGGTGTATCCCGCTGTGTTCAGCACGTCTTTTTTTTTTTTGAGGCACAGTCTCACTATGTAGTCCAGGCAGGCCTCAAACTCAAGGCAATCCTGCCTCAGCCCCCCAAGTGCTGGGATTACAGGCGTACTCCAGCACACCAAGCCAAACTGACTTTTTTTTGTTTTGTTTTTTTCCGGTACCAGGAATTGAACTCATGACCTTGCGCTTGCCAGGCAGGTGCTGTGCCGCTGAGCTAAATCACCAGCCCCTCCAAACTGAGTCTTTAAGCCCCTTGGAAGGGAAACCTGCAGCCATTGTCAACCTGGCCTCCTTCCAGGAGCCCCAGTCTCCTTCTCAGGTGGAAGAGATGGGCCAACTTCACCCCAGCCTGCGAAGCCCAGACACCTCTTCTATACCACAGGGCCTCAGTTCCTCTGTCCCCCAGGAAAAGAGCTAACTGGCCCTCATAGCCCTCCTCTCTGACCTTGGCCACAGCCCCCTCTAAACACACACTTCCAGAGCCACCACTCAAAATGCCTAGTGTCACTAGTAAAAATATCCAAGAGACTGGGCATGTAATTTCAGCACTCAGGAGGCTGAAGCAGGAGGATTGGTGCAAATTGGAGACCAGCGTGGAATACAGAGTGAGTTCAAGGCCAGTCTGGAATACATAGGGAGATCCTGTCTCAAACAACAAAAAACTCCCAGAGTTGGATCTAAAATAAAGAGCAGCTACCTTGGGATAGCATAGAACATCCATCTCCGTTCCAACCTGGGCCCCACCCACGCGGTGCTCCCAGATCTCCAATGCGCTGACTCGGAGCCCTTCACACCTGCCGTGCCCTCGGCCTGAAATGCTAGGCTTCCTCTGCCATTCGCTGAGCAAGTCCCTACTCATTCCCCAAGCCCCGGCTTAATTGCCACCTCCCAGCAGGCACCACACAGTACGTTGGCTGCCCCCCGCTTGCCCTGCTGATGCCCCTCTCGCAGGCTGGTCACATCAGGACTGTACCTGCTCCTCCTGCTGGGCATTTCTCTCATGGGGACCCAGCACAAATGGGAGCACAGGGAATCTTCTTTTTTTTTTTTCTTTAAAGCACCAGGCAACTGTCCTAGGGCAGGACATCAGCTGTGAACAAGAGCTGCAGACCCTGCCCTGTGGATCATAGGGGAGAGACAGACAGTAAACAAGAGAACAAGTATATAATTTGATGCCGGGCAGCACTGGAGGATGAGGGCTCTCAGCAAAGCAGTGCTGGGGCTGAGGCAAGAGAGAGTGGAAGGAAGAGGATCTTGACTCCAGGCCACCGCAAATCACCAGCTCCCTGACGCCTCTGAGCCGTTACCCATCCCCCGCAGCCGTGCCACTTGCACTGTGCAGATTGCTGAGCTCTGGGTGTGGGGCCGGGGAGATGCGCCAGGGGAGAGGAGGGCAGGCAGAAGGAAACGTGGAACACCAGCTCGGAGCAGGCTCGGGTGTGAATGGGACCAGGTGAATCCAGCGAGCACTGTGAATGCTCTCTCGCAAGCCTCTTCTCTGCTCTGAAGCCTTTCGTAGCTCCCTGCTGCCCCTGACAAAAGCCCAAACTGCTTTCCTGAGCTTTAAGTCCCCTTCCCTTTGCTCCCTAAACATGGGCATATGGCCTTGGTCCACGCTGCAGCCTCCTCTGAAGGCTCTGCCTCCTTCGCTAGTGCATCTCCACCTGACAAGGTCCTCGGAAGGCAGGACAGCAGCCTGGAAAGCCCTCCTCACACCAGCAGGGACGCACAGTCCCTCCTCCGGCACGCTGCACCTCAGCCTCACCCTCCCTGGGCCTGCGCTGCTCAGCTGGGAGCGGCAACTGTGTACATTTCTTATCTCTCCCCAGGAAAAAAAACTGGGGCGGACCTGGATACAAACTCTGGCCCAGCCAGGGACCAACCTCTTCCCTAGGATGGGTTACTTCACCTCTCTACACCTCAGTTCCCCTGCTGTTTGGTGGTGACAAGACCACCAACCTTAAGGATCTGTCCAGTACCATGAAAGCACCCAGTGGGCAATGCAACCACCTTCCCTGGCCTCAGGACACTGACTCAGCTCCTCACCCCACACCCCACTCTGCTCCCCGCCAGGGAAGGGGAGGCTCCTGACGACAGGAAGGGCCAGCAGGGAGGTGGCAGGATGTGCGGAGGCCGAGGAAGTCCAAGCAGCAGGGCCAGGCCACCGCGCTCACAGGGGCAGGGGCACCAGCACCACGCCCCCAGCAGTGCGGCCCCACTCCTCAGCAGGCGTCCACTCCCGCAAAGGTTGACAGGAGCCTGTGCATATGCACACCCGCTGCTCTCCCTCCTCCCAGCCACCAGCCTCTCTGAGCCTCCCAAGGCCAAACGCCAGAAATCTAGGGCGGCACTCCCCGCCTCCGTTCTAAAACACCACCATCAGGTGGCCCGACTGACTTGGATGGGGACCTTTCTTCCTTTGGTCAACTCATCAATGCCCTTCCCCAAGCCTCAGTTTACCCTGGTTGTAAAATGGGGAGAATAGCAACCTCGGCGATGAGGTTCCTACTGATAAGTAAGCCACAGGTACAGAGAAGTCTGCGCAGAGTCCAGTCCCAAGAAAAACACATACCCGGCCATCACACCCCCACCCGTCTCACAGCTCGCCCCACCCAAGGCCCCAGCGGCCCAGCCTGAGATGACACTGCCTCAGACGTCCCAGGATCGGCTCCTGGAAGCGCTCTTCTCGCCAGCCCCAACCTCGGGCCAGCGCCCACACGTGCGGCCACCCTTCCCAGGCCAGGTCAGCGCCGTCCGCCCCTGCCCCAGCGACGACCGGAACCCGCCCGGCGGGTCTGCGCTTCTCCCGCGGTCCGGAGCTCCTGGAAGCCTGGGAGAACCGGGTCTTCACCCAAGGGGAGGGCGGGGAGTGGGGAAGGGTCGCCCCGGACCTGTCTGAGATTTGTCCCGTATAGGAGGGGGTGGGGAGCGTCCCAGGGACGGGTCGTTCCCATCGCCAAGGGTCGCCTGGGTTCCGGGGTACGGAGGTGCCGGTCCGCCCGAGACCCCTCTGCCTCCGGGAAGTGGGCAGGGACCGCCCCAGCGCGCCGCTCGGAGGTCGCCCCCGCCCGGCTGGGGCACGCAGGGCTGCCGCAGGCACTCACCGTCATGGCGACGGTCCGGCGCGGCGGGGACCGCGG